CGGGACGGGCGGGGGCAGAGATGAATTACCAGGGCCTCTTCACAGACAAAGCCATCTTCACAAGCTGGTTATTACTCTGACCCTTTTATTACAGCTCCTACACTCACACTGCATCCTCAACAAGAGCTACGACTCTCAGAAAGAGCACAGGAATGGCAGCAAAACAAAATGACCCCCTCATTTTTTATCGGTCTTTTCTACTAGACCTTTCCAAACATGGGAAACATGGATTTTTTTTCTTTTTGGTTTGGTCTCGAGGTCAGTCCCGGCTTCAAAACTTGATGCGATGATGATAGCTGGTGATTTGGCAAACAGAGCTAAACTGAAACACATATACACAGGCAGGTATGATGATAAATTATTTAGCTCCGGTGCCTGCATTTCTCTGAAAGTCAAAAAAACACAAGAAAGAAGAGTCATACATATTTGGGAAGTTGTAGCCATACTGTGGATGCTTAGACCACAATTTATAAAAAATAAAGAATCTGAAATACGTCTCTGCATTAGCACTTCTGCCGAGACAGAATGTGGCCTCTCTTTGCGGTGGCATGTAAGGTCCTGCTTTCTTTACAGGTCCTCACTGGCCATACAACACTTTGGAGTTATGGCTTCCAGTCTTACATCATACGGTACTAACTGAGAAATGGAGGAATTATGCTGAGATCACAGCAGCGATGGGCCATCACATCAGAAGCCACATTCCACCCAGCACGCCTGCTTCCCACAGACTATTTCCTTTATGTACCAGAAAGCGGCTCGTTACATAATTATCTGTATATAAATATACTTCTATACATAAAAAAACTGTGAAGAAAACAAAATAACATTGCTAATGGATACTGTGCAAACACCTTCGCCAGAGTCGCTGCTGAAATCGATCCTAATGACCAGAAAACAGAACCACAGCAGAACTTTGGTCAACGTCATGCATTCCAAGACCCACATTTCCCAGCATGCTTTGGGCCCAGAGACCACGTTCTCAGCAGGCTCCATGCCTCGCTCGCTCTTTCTAGTCTACAGACTGCATACAACTTCCTATCCATATCCACCATGGCTTCATAGACCCTCATTAGCACTAACACGGGACATGTGCCGAACAAATGCTAAGGCTAACCAGGAAGACTGGGACTTTATCTGTAGCCTGAAGCCACGCTTTGATAATTGATAGCAGACTGTTTGTTTTGTAACTTTGTATCGGGTTCTCCTGGATCCGGTCTAGCTGCTGTGGCAGGCAAATACTCTAGATCTGTCCCAGTCATTCTCCAGCGCTAGTGCTAATACTTGAGGACATGAAACCAGTCCTCTATGCCTAGCTAAGGACGCCATAGCCAAACCTTTTCATCAATTGCAGTTAATTCACAAGAATGACAATCCAGACTGAAATGTATGTCATGGAAGGATCACGGGTGCAACAGAAAATCGCATATATGAAGCATTGTTTTTTATTTTTTACATTTTAAAATATTGGGTGTGTAATTCTTAAATTGTGGTTATTCGTTTCTTTCTGGGCCTCTATGTCAATTGGAAAGAGCAAGAGCCAGTTTCACAGATAGATTACGTTACACAGATGACTGATTTAGTCAGTATATTCACTTCTAAACCAAATCTGACACCTTGGTAAATAATGGACATCTGTCTCAATTAGAGTAAGTTTGCGTGCAGCCATGGGGAACTTCGTATATTGAATATTGTCCCGCAACACTTACTCAAAGATGTGTGACAATTTCCAATGCAACCACATCACCAGTTCTGCCATTCTGCCCTGTTCAAACTTGCCAATTGCACTTTCAAGAACAAATATCTCTAGAGGCAAACAGCATTAAATATATTCCCCCCGTCGAAGTGAACTAGTTTAATCTCTATTATTAGTACAGAGAAAGATTAACAGCAATCAGAGTTGGGATTTGTTCGTATGAGAGGCTCTGCCAGAGCACAGAGGAAGAAGAGGAAGGCAAAACTAAACCATGGAGATGACGAGGTACCTACTTGTGCCTTTCTGGTCTTGTTGGGCGGGGGGGGGGGGGGGGTAGGCTGCTTATTTACAGTGGAGACTAACACAGAACAGAGTTTCTGACTCAATATCCTGTAATTAAACAGAAAGTGTTGACCTACTGAACAAAACACGGGACCTATGTTTGTCTCTAAGTGGTCCAACAGGATGTAATTACTCCACCAACATGTGAAATCAACCGAGGGAGAAGTTAGTGTAAAGACCACATGTCGTAGATAGACAGAGGAACGGGAAAAAAAGAAATGTCTTCATTATTAGGCGCAGGCTTGTGACAGGTAGCTTTAAGGGAGAAGCTCAAAGGAGGAATTGCAGGAAAGCAACAGTGATTTATGAGGAAATGAATTACATGACAGTATTACTGATGGAGTCAAGGGTGGTCCTATTGATCTGTTTAGAGGTGGTTACATCGATTCCTTTAATCATCTGTGCTGTACATCCACAGGAGGCGTGAAACCATCATCCAAAAACCACACCTTCTGCCTTTGATACCTTCAAGATTGAAAACACTACACCAATAATACCTCCTGCCAGAACTGTGTGCCAATAACGCTGTTTGGAAGTGGTTTAATTACAAGGGTGTTACCATAACAACCTACACTAGCCTTCTCGCACTCCCTCAGGCCTGCTGCGCACCAAGGTGGATCTGCTTTATAGAATGGCCTTTTAGTCCCTCTTTCAGAGCATCACACAGAACATGCGAGACACTGAAGCATCACAATCTCAAAGTGGAACACCTGATCTTTATGGAACGGCCTTCGCATGTCCCTACAGTGCGCTAAAGGAAAACGGTGAACTTAAGGATTTGTGCAAATGTGGCGCCCTCCACCATGTTGTTCACTTCAACCGCAGCACAGAGACGACAACAACACATCTCCAATTGAAAAAAAATATCTGGAAAATGGAAGAAACATGCTCACTGTCCAGATATTTCCGGTGGTACTGCAGCAATTCAAGCAGATATCCCTCCTCTGGGTAATATTCAGAATACAGGGTATTCATGCAGGTCGCTATTCAGAATATTAATCCAGAGCATTAAATTTGTATCTTGAAACAAATTCAACATAGATGCCGAGTGACAGACATTCAGCTCTGTGGAGGATAAATGAAGGTGCAGAGGTATGGATGAGGACGTAGGTTCGATGCACGGAGGGGAGCGGCAGGAAGGAGGGATTGGCATGCGACTGCACACGCCTTACGAAGCATAGCTGCTTTTCTCTTCACAGCTTCCTGGATGTACTGTAAGCGGTGACTCTTCCCTGGAAACAGAGAGCACCCCTGAAAACGTGCACACACGTGTCCACACGCACCCAACAAGCACACGGAAAGATCACGCGCGCGAGCACAGACAACATTGTGAAGGTAGATATGGATGAAACAAAAATAATAATCTCATTGTTTTGCCGTTAGAACCATTAGACAAAAACCATTAAACAAACGTAAGTGCAAAATCCACTCGCTTATCCTATAAGGTTATAGTTTCTGGATGGCCTGGAATACATGGTACAAGGCTGGGGTAGAACAGCATGTCTTCGGACTGCAGGAGGAACCTGGAGTACCTGGAGAACATGCAAACTCCACACAGGGTGGGTGGGGGAAAACTGCAAACTCATTTGCTGAACTCAATCTTACGCTACACAGATGAGAGGCCAGGATGCTGCCGACGCTACTCTGTGCTGTTCAGCTTAAACTATAATCGTCTTTAACAGATTCCCCCAGCCCTGTCCTCGGGACCTCCAGACAGTCCACTTTCTTGTTACCTCCCAGGTGTCAATCAAGATCATCGAATATCAGGTACAGGTTTGTTGGGAGCAACAATGTGGACTGTCTGGGAGGTCTCCAAGGACTGAGTTGGGAACCAATGGTCATTGAAGTCCCACACAACTTCTCTACTAATCAGGTATTTATTTACACTCAAGATATATTGATAGCTGGGAGGAGATACTCAGGCAAAGCGAACCATACAAACGACACCTGTAGAGAGAGAGCGTGATGTGGAGGAGAGGGGTACAGACTGGGGGAGTCCCACGATACACAGCATCTGAGCTTACGGCTGCGAAGCGGATTAGCCTCAGCTGTCATCCCCCCACGCTCCTGTCCCAGGTCCTTAAACCCACGAAGGCCTGCGAAGATCCGCGGGAGGTGAGCCGAGAGCCCAGACGGCGGATTAAACATAGGCGCATCAACTAGACACCCATGAGAAGTTATAAGGAAGACAACGCCGTCCAAAAGTACTTTCACCGGAAACCTGGGATTGTCAAGTGCAGGGGAGATGCTGGGGAAGAAGAGTCATAGTGGATATCGATGTACACAGAGTATCAAATGATGGGGTTTGAACCAAACCTCCTACTGACTCAAAGCATGTGATCCTATCTTCAGAACTGCCTTAGCTGAATCTCTCCCATCATCACTGAATTTCTTTGCACTTCTATATGCAAGGAATGCAAAATTTATACAGTGCGCAGAGTGAATATGTTAGTTGCGCCTCTTACAGGACAGACTTCCTGTTCCTGAGTCTAAGCAGAGGTGCAGTAATAGCCAGCTCGTTTCAGGCACCCGAACGCGACGGTCCGGCACAGAGACACGGAGGCACGCACACAGAGACACGCGCGCAGACTCGCACCTCACAGAGAGCGGCAAGCTGAAGGTCACAGAAGACACAGGACGGCCCACTGGAAGTCAACAAAGCGACAGAAGGGGTCTGCATCAGGCCCCGCCGACACAGCAGCACACAGACACACATGACGTGGGTGTTTACCATGGGTCTCACTGGAGTGACTAAACCAAGCAAACTTCCCCCTCTTCTTGTCAAGCAAGTCGGCCAAGGTGACTCCTTCCTCGAACAAGACGGGCAGGTGATTCAGCATCGTTAGTGAAGACACACAGCCAGAAATACACAATTATCACAGACACGTAACGTCAACGTCAAAAGCACGGGAGCACAGATACACAAACTCTCACAGAAGGATGACAAAAAACCTTCATACACACCTGCTTGTACTGCTGTAGCTTCAGGGAGGCAAACATTGTCATCACATAACACAAATCCATGTAAACCCCTGACCTGCACATACACACAGATGAAATACCTACAGCTGAACACTGTAGCCCTGAAAAATCAGCTGTCCCTATACTGGGTCATTCTCTCTCTTACAAAATACACACATAAAGGTTTGTAATTATATCTTTGTGGGGACCCTCCATTCATTTCTGTGACGACCTTAAACCATACCCAGCCCTGTGGTGGGAGTGTTCTTAAATTCCAGGACCCCCCCCCCCCTCCAAGCCAGTAATAACACCTCCTCCCCAGCTAATCCCCTTCCTCCCCCCACCCTTCTATTGGCTGCTCTGTCCATTGCACCCAGCTCTTAGACTATATTCCCAGTCATGCTGCTTGTCTCCAGTCCCGCTGCATTTTCTCAATGTAAGCAGCGGCTAAGCTAAGCTAACGACCTGTTCCCCCCCCCACCCCACAGCCCGACGGTCTTCCTTCCACCTGGAGTGTCTTAAACGGCAGGCAAGAGCGGATGTTTCCCAGAGGACCGCACTGCCCCTGCACCTCGTTCACCATCAGGTGGGTGCATCCACACACACACACACACACACACACACACACAAACAATGAAACAAAAAGCTCTGTGGAACAGATTGCTCTGATGAGAAGGACGTTTCAGCCACATGGTTCATGCATTTTACTTTGTCACCAATATGTGATACTGTGAAGGCTGCAGCACCGCTGCCAAATAAAGTCCTTGGCCTGGCTGCCATGTCCCACAGAGAGTGGGAACACAGAGGAGCCATAGAGAAAATGTGAAGAAAGGGAGGAACAAACGAATGAGCAATCAATAACCCCCAAACTACAGCGAAGCTAACGACAAACTCAGCCTGTAGGCTCCCTCAGTCTGTTCACATACAGTCCTGTTGGCCTATGATTGAGTCCGTCCTTCCTTCTCAAAGATTAACAAGAGATGGACAACCCTCATGACCTGGGACACCAGCTGCTCACACAAGCAGTCACGCCATCCCCCGTCTCTGCTACAGCAAGCTCACGAGAACATCTCAGAGCAGAACCATGACATGGTGCTATGCAAATTACTGCCATGCCCTCTATGAATGCCAAAGACTGGACGCCTTCAGAGAATATAACACAAAATGCGGTCGAAATCCCTTCTTATTCACAGCTTCCGTTCCATGTGTAAGCCATGTAGGAAGCAGGAGTATGGAGGACATATAAATAATAATAAACATCCCTGCCAACCTAACACGACTACAGATGCATCGGATTAACGCAAGATTAATATGCTGCAGCTTTGAATACCATGCTTAGTCTTCAATAAACAGCACCAAGATTATGCCTGCAATTTCACTCTAGGGGTTGGTCTATTGTTTATTTTAAATTTCTAGCAATGTATAATGTCTAGATCGGGGCATGACACCTCAGCAGCTGATTGGCTCCTCCGCGGTAGTAGACCAAAGCCTATGACGGCCAGCAGATCAAGCTGTAATACCCAGCTGAACACCATGCTTCGGTTGCCCTTCTGACGCCTTCCCCGGGGAATTCAGTCAGGTTCTCAGGCCTGTCAGCCTTGCTCCTTTCCCCACTTTGGCACATGCCATTATTCACCATGATGACCTTGTTATGAACCTGTAACGACAGAGCTTCGGGCAAGGACGAGCATCCTCTAAAGCAGAGACGTAAGAACAGCACCGAACGTCGCGCTCTCGTAGACATCGACGTCAGCGTCTTTACTGTAGTGTTAAATGGACAGAAGCAGCCTGGCAGAGCGGGATGCTAAACATCCACTGGGACAATCCTGAATCGGGCACCATTATCTATCTTCAGGCTCCTCCACTTCACTCATTGCCTTCTGTGCTTCCACTGAACCGGCACCTCTGCTGTCTCCCCCAGCACCCTCTCCCGCCCTGACCGGCACCGGCTCGCACCAAGGCGGCTGCTGTCAGACTCGGCCGAAGGTGCAGCCGTCGTCAGAGTGACGGTGGGAATGGTGGTGCTCACCATAGTCCCTAGCTATCTTTCCACGAAGGCTGGGATAAATCAGACCACAAAAAGACCACACCACTCTATGTCACTAGGTTGTTTTCCTCGAGCTCCCCCAGTCCTCCTTGTCTCTGCTTTCCTCATCATCCCAGCCAGGAGCACCTCTCTCCTGGAGCCACAGTGCTGAGCACCCCCCACACTCCAAGCTCGGGGCTGCTGGCTTATGTTTCTTACCCAGTTTTTCAGACGCTGCCTGGCTCAGTTCGCACGGGCTGAGCACTGAGACAATACCGGGCACCGATTGGCTGAGAGGGTGATCCTGTGACACTCCTCCACACGGACACGCCACAGACGCATGTTACCCTTCATAAGGGTGATTTCCTCAAACTCAGTGAAAAAAAAAACCTTGAAAAACAGTAAACATGTATAATAATCAAAATAAGTTTCAGAGACATTACGGTTTATAAATAAAAACAAAATAAATACGTAAAAAAATATTTGCTATATAATGATGTTATTATCATCGTGGGGACGTTTACTGAAAACAGAAAAACAGCCACGGTCCGGCACCAATCTCAGGACCTTGAGTTCAGCTCTCAGGCTTGGCCACAGTCAGCAGCCGTAATTCAGATTAAATGACAAAGAAAAACAAAGAGTGACAAAGAGTCACCCAGGCAAAAAGCACCCCTGATCTCGAAAAGAGAATGTAAAACGAAAATCTCACAGTCGGGTTTTTCAGTGGTCAAAACCGCCGGTTCTGCACACAAAGCATTCAAAGAGTCTTGCAAGAAACAGCAGCATCACCCAATCCACTCTCACTTTCCTCTGGTCCTTGAACCATTTGCTCCGAATGGGTGAGGCCACAGACAACTAGGGCACTGGTCCAGGTCCGCAGAGAGCAGAAAAGTCCTAATTAATGTAGAAAGTCCTGCCCGAATCCAGGAGCCCTTCTACTGTACTTCAGCTCTGACGTTAGCAGAACAGGACCCCTTAAGCTGTTGACTCCACGCACTGGCACAGCATGAGTTATCAAAAACTAAGTCATAACAGAGAAGAAGACAGCAAAAAAATACCCGACAGGACCCGATAAAGACCTGCAATGCTTCCACCCTGCCAGCTTGATAAGGCTGCACCTACATTAACCCTCCGAGTAATAAAACACCCGCAGATACACCAAGTACCCAGAAATGCTACTTTGGTGTTGGAGCCGGCTTTAAGATCTACGGGCCGCAGCATCCGACCGGCTCTCTTTAACAACTTACAATGTCAGCACTGAGAGAGGCCTAAATTAAATTAGGAAAATGATCAGCTCAATCCAGTGCTTAGGTAGCATGAAGATGTTACGCATCAGGATTCGGATCGAAGAATCCCGGTCTGGATGCACCTCACAGGACAAATACGCACTCAAACACACACTCTGTGTCTGCTATCATCATCTCTGTGTGGAGTCTATGAACACAAAGAGCTGACTCTATCCCTCACTGAAGGCTCATCAGCTGGGGCCAGCAGAGGTAGGGGCAAGAAAATCCACACTCTCCCAAAATCAAAATATCCAAAGGCTTCCTGAAGTATGCCACTGACACTACGGCCTCACCCTGCACCCCTCCCTGGATGGTGCTCAGGCTGATTTAAAGAAGCGTCAGACCCAATTCTCGGACAGTACACCTGGCACTATGAGTCATCTTAAGGCACCCTTAACTGACCCAAATATGGTGCCCGGCTCCATATTGAGCGAGGGTGAGCCAGACGAGGGGCTTTCAGGTTCCCCCTCACATTCCACGACGAAGGATAACTAACAGCTGCCGGCACGGTGCGGAAAGACGGGCCTTCAGATCAATCCCCCCCCCCTCGCTTAAGTCCATTACACCTCCTGGGGTGATCGGTACAGGACGTGATGGGGTGCGGAACAAGCAGAGCTCTCTGAGAGCGCTGCAGAAACACGGAGCAGCCCTGCCTCTCTGCCCAGCGGGGGTAAGACACAAGCGAGTGCCATATGCTACAAAGTTGCTCTGACTGAGGACCTCGGCCTGTCCGACCGCTGTGCAGAACCATTAGGACACAATGAGAAATGAAAATGAAGTTAGCACAGCCTGTCTGTGTGTGTACCTCACGTTCAATTGTATATACTGACCATAGTGTTTCGTATATTAGACTATGTCAATACTCATGCACAGGGCAGTGTCGGAGGGTACATGTCAATATTTTAGTCATAGTGGGTATGTGGGGGGGGGGGGGGGGGGGNTTTCGTATATTAGACTATGTCAATACTCATGCACAGGGCAGTGTCGGAGGGTACATGTCAATATTTTAGTCATAGTGGGTATGTGGGGGGGGGGGGGGGGTGAGGGGGCGTGTCCACCGCAGGCTTGTTGCCACGGTACATTTCACTGCTGTGATTAACATAGCAACGCCGCCGTTTACAGCTGTCCCAACAGACACACAAATAAATGGGCCTGACGTGAAACTGTTAGCAGAAATCGATATCCCATAGACGGCGTAGAAACAGGATGAAAGCAGTAGTCAGAGCATATTATTGTCTCAAAGTCACTGGGGCCGTACCATCATCGCGAGAAGGGGGGTATAGTAGCCTATTGACCACTCAGCCACACACATATACATACCCTCACGCATGTGCATCCCCTCGCCTCCCCCCACAGCGGTACTCACGGTTCCTGGGCTTGTCCTCATCCAGCCCCTCTTCTTCATTCTCAGGGTCGATGTCTTCAGCCTGGGTGATCCAGTCCAGGTAGCCCTTCAGGTCCTCCTCCAGCTGCTGTTTCTCTCTCAGCTTCTGGAAGTCGCCCCGAGCCTTGGCCTTCTCTCGCTCCTTGGAGAACTCGCTGAACCCCGCAGAGGACGGGGGAGCAGGGGACAAAAACGGAAGAGCGAGGAGGCAGGACAGGGGAAAGACAGGTGGACAGATGGGAGAACGGAGACAGAGAGAAACCTGAGTAAAGGTTCGCCGACAACGGGAGAGATCAACAGACAACTGGCAAAGTTCTATGGCGGTTTTCTGTCAGGAATGAGAGACGGAGCCTGACTATCAACACTGACAGAACAGGAAGGATCTGAAGAGTGACAGGAGGTGAGGGCATGCGAGCTGTGTATGTGTATATGCACCTCGGCCCTGCAGCCACACAGAAGTGGGCGGAGCCAAATACACGTGCTGACCAGGCCCTCAATCACGTGTGGGGAGAGTGTTTATACTCTCTGCTGCTGGCCGAAATGAAACGTGCGAAAAACAGCTCCATTGCATAAAGCCCGGCATCTTCTGACCAATGAATAATGCAAAACATGCTAATTTATTCAAAACATATGCAATGACCAAGAATGAGGTGCCGAAAATGGTGAATGAAGATGAAATGCAGTTCTGATGTCCTTCTGCAGTGCAAAGATGTGCAGCAGTGTTTCTAAAATGCTGATGTGGGTAGGAAAGGTGCTAGACTGCCTGCTACAGAGAAGCATGTAGTAGGACATTAGAGAAGGGCAGATAGGCTCTGTGCTGGGCGACATCACTCTCTCTGCCACCTCCAACAAAGGGCCAGATTACAGGCAAAGTCAGGTGTCAGGCCCGAGAGCATCCATTAGAGTGGACAGTAGACAGAGTGATGTGACCTGGGTGAACGGCAAGAGCCAACGTACTTCCATTTCAATTAACCTGTGAACGTGGCTTGACGGCACTTAAGGTTCACTGATTTTGAACTGTTCCACAATGCGGTTTGGGACATGCAAGGCTGGGAGGGTCTCAAGCACATGGATAACACTTGGAAAGAGATGAGCAGGTATGACATCAGACATGCCAGAAACAAAGTGTGATGGCGTCTAAATGGAGAGACAAAAGATAAAAGGTACGAAGCACGACAGGTAAGAAGCATGAGCCTCTTACTGAAGTTCGAGAGAACAAATGCCATTTCCAGTAGAATAAAAACAACCGATAATGGCACTGTCCTCTACTGACGGCTAATCCCATTTACAGGCGAGAAATTTACGACGTACACTGACAATTACTGTGACAAGTGTTTACTCAGGTTTTGAGGAGTGCATTTCCATCTTTTCAGCTCGCCTACATGACTGAGCTCTCGTGTGCATGTAAAGGACGGGCGTTTTGTAGTGAAGAAGGAAGGAACCAAAAATAAAACGTCATGTTCTTACCCGCTCAGCACACCAAGAACTAAGTTAAGAACAAAAAAAGACCCTATGATGATTAATGTGACAAAATAGATCCATGGCCACGTATTCCCTATGGCGTCATTGACCTGTGAAGATGGAGCAATGATTAGTGTGCATGAAGCAAGCAGATCAACAAGACTCCACCGGGCGTGACCTTTTGACCCCTGCTCTTGTGCTTCTACTTCCCATCCTACGAGCCCGCGCATTCCAACTCCAGAAACACACACTTGTGATATTCTGTCTATGGTTGGTCATTAGACAAAGTAAAAACAGACGAGAATGAGAACTTTAGTAGCACTGGAATCAATAAATAAATGTATGTTCACTGGAATGTTGCACAGAGTTGACATCGTGGCTTAACTACTTTAGGCCAACTCAAGCTTACCTGATCCCTTTGTATCATGGAGATAAACAGGACTGAGGCAACACGGGCACTGCCCCCAGCTGAAAACTGATTGGCTGCCGGGGTGCCCCCTCCCCTGTCATGTGTCGATTCAAAATACTGTATACCATTGGCTAATGATAAGGTTCACCCCTCTGTATGAATTATTACGTCTCTTTCACCCTCCTACAATTGGACTTGCTCAGCACGGTGAAAGAATTTTGCATCTACAGCAAGGGGAAACCAATAGCTACTTCACGAAGGCGTCCTCACACCGCCACGGGGCTAAAGCCGCCCAGAACAACAGATGAGAGTGATGAGTGATCACCGTACTCTACAGCATCCATTGGTCTCCATTGGGCCAAATTCAAAACAACTCTGAGCTTAACTGGATCGAATCTGTGGAACAGCTGTCAGTTATGCATTGGTTACGTGTCCGCTACAGCGAAGCATGGAGATCATCGCTCAGAACGGAACATGGATGATCGCATTGCTATGACATGCGATGGGCGAAATGAGGTTTTGCTTTCAAAGACAAGGAGGAGGTAGGAGGAATCTGACACCCAGATGGGGCCTCCACCTTTGACCAACCAGTGCTGATAAACTGGTAAGATTAATAAATATTGGGAAGTGTGGTCTCTGGATTGGAGCGCCCACCCCAATTAATGGTAATTGGTGTTTTTTTTTCAAATCGGCATTTCGGCAAATGAACCCGGGCCGATCATACATTACACCCACCTGCTCCCCCCTACTCATTCTCCAAATGCCCTCTCTGCTGGCATGTATTGTTTTCCTGCCATGACCCAGTTCTGACACTTCTCCGGTCCCGCCCGCTGCTCTCTGGAGTCTTGCTGTCTGGTCAATTAACACAAGTGGCTTCCTTACCCGCTCAACACCCCCAGAACCAGATTTAGTACGAAAAAGGATCCGAAGATGACCAGACTGACAAAATACACCCAGGGAAGCTCATAGCCCATAGCGTCCTGCATCTGAAAGATGGAAGGAAGATTTAGAAAGAGAAAAGGCGGGAAAGGACAGGACAGGGGAGGGGAGGGGAGAGGAAAAGAAGCAGAGGTGTTTCGGCACATCAGCGAGCAAGCAAACCTGCTTGGGTCTGTTACAGAGGCCTTTTGACGGGGGCTGGCATGGTGCCCTTTAAAACGGGGATGGGGGCAGGGGGGTGAGAGTGATCTGGACATGGAAAAGAACAGCATCCCTCTGCATACAAACAGCAATGTTCCCCAGGAAAAAATAAATAAACTGACACAAGGCCTAACCGGAGGAATACCGATGCAGAAGCCCTGTGCTTGTAACCTTGGACAGACATCAAGAGGCTGTACCAGTTACGGCGGCTTCGTTATCCGGCGCTCAGCGTTCAAAGGAGCTTCCTCTGTGCACACAAAGGCACGAGAATGGCCTGTCAGAATGGCGCCACTGTCACGGAGGCAGCTCTCTCACACACGACCGCCTCTATTCTCATGCTTCCAGCATGTGCCCCCCCCGAGAGATTACTGGTCGTGGTATCTGTGTCTGTCAGCTATTCCCTTCTGGGTCTGACCTCTCCAAGGTCAGACTGTCACTTGGGGTTCACAAACCAATACTGAGATATATAATTATCCAACAGGAAATTGCTCCAAAACACACATCATAAGTCATAAGTTCAATAAATGCATGCTAATTTCCCTCCAAAAATAAATTATTCATTTATACTCAATATATTTTGGGTAATTGTTACATATATTATTAATATGCACATTCACATATGTGTGAAATGGCCAGTATAAAAAAAAAAGGTGATAAGCAATCCTCCCCTGCCCCCTCCTCTCGGAGAATTGCTGACATCATACAAATATGGCTGCCACATACTAAATCTGTGCCATATGGTCTCCCTTATGGGGGGGCTCCCCCTCCCATAAAACGCAGTAGGCCTACTACGCTCCAGAATCCGTTTCGCTGCCCCCAGAAAAAAGACCTCACGTGTGACCCAGAGAGAGGGAAGCAAACGTGACAGAGGGGGAAAGGAGGAGAAGAAGCAGACAGTGCCTGGCCGTCCCCACGGCGACGGTGTGCAGCGCCGGCTAAATGCGCACAACTGCTGGTGCTCAGGATGTGCCTTTGGTCTGTCACTCAGCGTAACGACGCTGCCACAGGGCCCCGGTGGCTTCTGGGTACTCGCGCTTAAAGCACTTCCCAGAATCCCATGTACGAAACGGGGCATCCGAGCTCTTTGAGCGCAAAGCAAATAAAATTAGATGCTGGAATGCATCTGTTGTAGAACATCAGTTGTGGGAGAAGGCTGTAATAACCAATTTATCATTAATTGGTGATTCTATTAACTGTTAATTGCCAGCGCTTTAAATCTGCGCACGCTCAAGTGCTTGGCGAAAACGCAAGACTGCGCCGGCAGCAGATAAATAGTCCATAAAAGAGAAAAGAATGACATTACTTCAGCCATAATCTTTATACTACCTTTGCAACTGAAGTCATAGACAATAAATTTATTACATGCAGCAGAGATTAATTTATTCACTCATTTTGAAACATATTCGCAGTTGACGTTTTAATGCGCGGCTTGAATTTAGGAGATCAGCTACGGAGTCTGTTCTGAACATGAGCTCTTTGAGAAGCCAGCGTCCAGTGTCTTGACAGTGGTTGCTTTACTGTGATAATACATTCAGACACGCAAAGGACCACATTCTGGCCATAAGCAGCAAAAGACATTAATCTGAATGGGCTCTGTAGTTGAAATAAACCATTCAACCCTTACTCTTAATTTGGGTAGTTTTTATGCAGAATAGCACTATAATTTATCACAGTTATATACTCAAGTATCTGTGACTGCATTCAAAGCATCGTGTGAATGCACAGATAATGCAATTTATAGATATTTACAGTGCCATTATGTTTGGTGGTGCATGTTTGTCTTTTCCTGAGCCCAAGTGTGTTTAGAGCGTATTGTTGCTGTCTGATGAAAACCATGTATGTCCACTTTTTGAATTGCGACTTTTTACTATAGATGGAATGTGCCCATTCTCCTGGTCAACTGATAGCTTTGACATCAAATCGTCCAATGAAAACATGCCATCCATTTAAGTACTATTTACGTTCGCACTAGTTAGCATTTGTATTCATGAGGGTCGTTAGTATGGAGTACTTCATACCACTAGTTTACTTATTGTCGACAGTTAGATAGCTAGCTAACTAGCATTGTTAATCCTGAAGATAAAGCAAGATATGTTTGTATCTTACTGACTGGCATATTTGCCTTAGGACAACAACCCAAGTTAGTCCATTAAAAACATTAAACACTGATGGCTGGGTACAGACAGGCTTCTATTTGTGGTGCTAAGGGTGTTCTTTTAGGGTTATTTCCTATCGCAGTTTCCGAGAAAATGCATTGTTTACGTCCCTGAAATAACGCATTTTTGGAGTCATGGTTTTCTCATCGGACAGCGCCGATACGCCCTTCTGCATTCCTAGTGCAGGGTTCTGTGGCACAGCATGCTGGGCTCCGACTCACCCAGTACAGCACGTCAGTCCAGCCCTCCATGGTGATGCACTGAAAGACAGTCAGCATCGCAAAGGCAAAGTTGTCAAAGTTGGTGATGCCGTTGTTGGGTCCATCCCAGCCCGACTCGCACTTTGTGGTGTTCTGGGGGTTGCAGTGCCTCCCGTTGGCGTGCTGGGGGGCGCATGGTTCGGGTCTCTCCTCCAACAGATGACCTGATCATGCAGACACAGGCGTCACCCCACTCCGAGCCACAAGAGGGCAATATGAGCGGCACGCGCACTCACGAAAGTTCCATTATCGCCACATTAATGGAAGATGTTCAAAATAATCTCAGTCAATCCTGGTCATGCTTAGTAAAACTTTTTAAATGACCATTTGCACAACATTTACTCCACCTCCTGGAGACACAGGCAGCAGCTACAGTGATTTAAATCATGGCAGTAAACAAATGCTCAGAGAGAAGGAGACATTGTGTTTCCTTTTTAGGGTCCAGGTGATAGACAGACAAAGGGCTCCAACAGGCAGAAGAGCTTACCCAGCTTCCCGTCCCGGTGGTGGAAGCAGGTGCGATGCATCTTGCCCATAAACAGCTCCAGGCCGATGATGGCATAGATGATGATGACGAAGAGGACAAGGAGGGCAATGTGCAGTAGGGGAACCATGGCTTTGATGATGGAGTTGAGCACCACCTGGAGGCCTGGAGGTGGTATCGCGGGCACACGTACAAACACACATGAGCACACCATGGAAATACACATGCACGCAGACAAGTGAAAATAGCAAAACTGTGTCAATAACCATTGGTGAGGGTTTTTTATTCAAATTTAAGTGGTAAAGGGCTGGAGGGCTTGATTCCATGATGATAGTGATATGATGACACTATGATGATAATGGTAGTTTGTTCCCCAATACCCCCAACGCCCCCACCCCATCCCCTCAATCGGAGAGGCACTCACTGGGCACGCCGGACACAAGTCTCAGGGGCCGGAGCACCCGGAATGCCCGCAGCGCCTTCACGTCGAAGCCCGCCGCCTTCCCACCGATGGGCGTGCCCCCCGCCTCTTTGGTGGCTTGTTCCAAAATGGCACTAAAAAGCCTGATGGGCACAGAAGAGAAGGAGGGGAGACATGTTGTTGAAAACCGCTGAACAGAAGGAAAAGGTCAGAAACAGAACAGAATTAACGCTAGAGTTTCCTCCTGCATGGGCGGGGGGTGGGGATGTTAGCATGGGACATTCCAATGATTTCAGATTAATCCATGGCAGCAGCATCACACCGAAGCAGCCAATGGGAAGCTCTGGCTTGACTGATCCTACATTGTACTCATCACTCCCTCAGCTAGACAAAGCAGTTTTGGATAGTGCCACTCCAAGGGTGTTCGGGGCCTGTTTCATGTGGCACAGATCACAAGGGAGATATTTCCAACAGAAAAGTCGAAACACATGTTTGAAACCATCTGTCAAGCGATCTAGACGTCTCAAAACAGCCTTGGCCAAAAAAGCCCTAAACTGGGTTTTGGAACGTACTCCTGAAACCGTTAGGCAAGGTGGAGCAGGAAATCCACAAATCCTGCTGCACATTAACACTCCAACTTGCACCGGTTTTAATATCAAAGGCTCCGTGCTCTGAGGGAGAATCACACTTTTAGGGAATTGTCTAGAAAAGGCTGTAGACTGATTTATCTGAAATGAAGAAAACTTCTCATTACACAACTGCCCTTAATGTCAAGCAAAGGTCATGTGGGTCAAACGAGTAGAGAAATTCAGGGAAGGGCTGGGCTGACTTTCACAGAAATACCTCACAGGACTACAGATAATTCTGCTCTAAATTAGGTGCAATCCGCTGCTAATTTCTCTGTCCCAGAGGAAGAGGAAGGCATGGAAACCCAAGACGACCCAACGAGCTGGGTGGTGCATGTGAACGCCATGTTCCTGAACGTCCTTCAGCTGGTCTCCCGGGGACAGGCCGCTGCTAGAGGGCACTATATCGACGCACTCCAGCTAGGCGTGTAGAGAGACCTTCGCTCTCCAGCTCACTGGGGACCCCTGGTGTCAGCATGGTCTTCACCCAGAACGTTTCTCTCACACGCTTCGCTGATGTTCTTGAGTCGCACCGTGCCTGGAGTCATGCTGTACAGTCACGGTGCTGTTGTGCCCTTTGCTACTGGTCAGACCGCAGTCTGGGGTTGGATGATGCTGCCTGTCATGCGCTCTGAAATCGGCTGGTTTTGCCTGCCCTGGACTCTGCAGTCAGCTCACTGTCCTTGTTTCTACCTTGAAGGTGTCAGCGACTGCACTGTAGGCCGAGCCTGACATCCCGGTGGATTTTGGGCCCACAGACTCAGGATGTAACAAACAGAAATACAGTTCTTAAACAAAAACTGACACAAAACTAAAAGATGTGTTCTGGGAGGATCTCTTACCCCTTACATCTGGTAAATAAAAACACAAACCAAATCATTCAATGTATTCCTCCCTAACTATAATCTCTCCACAGGAGGGTCCCAAGCTAAGAAGAAAGTCCAGCCACACTGCCTGCCTGTCTACCTGCAACAGTACAGATACTAACGATCTGTCACACCTCTGTCACATACAATCAGAGCGAGCAGGACGGGCTTCCACAGAGATGCAAGCATGCTGAATGGCTTGTATCGCTTCCTGGGCTGGATTAGCCCCAGTTCGGGAGCTCAATCGTTCTGTCGGGGGGAGCGTGAGGCCATACCGCCAACAGGACCCCCCCCCACATCGTTGCCCTCAGGCACAGACGATGCCAGATGACGTGTAATTGCACAGACAACAGAATTACTTCTAGTGTGGGGACCAGAAGAGGAAGAAAGTTAAGGAAGAGAAAAAAGGAGGGAAAGTGCATCTGATAGGAGCTGAAGGGATTTCATTATGCCAATTGCAGTCCTGCCCAGGAACAAAATCATAGGAACAAAAAATTCAGCAGTATCAGTAATGGCTCCAACGGTCTGCACATTAAAGGGTCTGATTAGTGTGGAATAAACCTCTAGATATACTGTAGAATACAGTGGTCTGGACTTGCAGCATGACTAAAATGATCTACATGTTAAAGGGAACTGGCTGGTGTAGTGCAGACATACTGCAGAATATAGTGTTGGGGAGTATTCCCCAAACATGCCAGTAAAAAAGGGTTTAAAAGCAAAAATAAAATCACCAGTTTTTAAAACGGTTAATTGTAAATTAAAGCTGCGCAATCCTCCCATTTCAACTTTTCAGCTTAATGAAGCTACTGTACAGTTGGTCAACACATGGCTGGTGAACCTCAGTGCAGAGTGGAGACTTTGGATCAAAGTGTTCAGATGGTAAGTACTAACAGGTTATTCCCTTAAACCGCGGAGCTCGTAACAGTGAGTTTAGACCAGTGGTCACCAAGTGGCCAATACAACTGAATCCAGACCATCCAATCGTCCCCCACAACCCAGTCAATAGGTTTTATCATTGGAGGACCCACCCCCAAGGTAGCAGATTTTATTGTTTAGGGATATCCCACTGCCCCAGTTTTTATTTTATATTTGTGGACCACCCCCCACCCCAGGAGGCCCCCTACAGGCGGGAGCATGCTTTTCTGTTTTGCTCTAACTGTCAGGTTGTTGACATGCACTGTTACGGACACACACTCCACACAGCCACACATTCCATCCCCAAACATACCAAGCCCCCCCCCCCCAACGCGGCAGACCTCAGCGTGCAGGCGGCTCTCCGGCCCACAATGGGCAGGCGTATGGATAAACCCTGACTTGGGGTTTTGACACAGCACAGCGTATGAGCTTTATGGAAACGCTCAAGTGGATTCGATTGCCAGTTAAATTACTTAAGTGGCCATCGCTCAGATGCGTCAGCCCCCCCGAGCGCGCTGCTTTAATAATGCGGACACGCTTATCACGCTGCTAAGCTACGCGGTGGCAGATACTCTGGACCACATCCACCCCGAGACCTTAATCTGCAAATCTCAGCCACGACTGTCCTCAACATGGCTACCCATTTGCATTCTAGGCACACAAAGACCAGAGGCACATTGACAGGTTCAGAGGCCGCTGGGCTATATGAGTTGTCAGAGGCCTGACGGGGGGGGTAACGGCAAAAGTTGCCGACTAGGGATAGGGTGGCGATGGTCAATTTTTATTAAACAAGGTTAGATGAGGCCCCTTTTTTTAGTGCAGGAACTGGGCTTTAGTCCATGCATTAAATCGCCCAACCAGAGACACAACCTTCTGGTGACCTGCACAGCCCCATAACCCGCTGGGCCGCACACTCCCAACACTCTCGAAACCTGCAAAAGGGATCAAGAACCCACACTCAGGCTCAGACAGGCAAACACCTTCACATCAGCGAGCAGCAAAAAGGAAATTCTTGTTCAAAAGCGCCTGTCATGTGGATAGCCGGTGGCCTTTTCAGACGCACCAATGAGGAATCGGCTCCTGCCCAGATCGACCAGGGCCGCGGTTTATTTTTAGGGACCAGGGAAGCATGGGGTTTCAGATTGTCTGAGGCGCCGGCAGACAGGGATGGGGCGGAGGTGTGTGGCAGCGGGCGGCGGCAAGGTACTCACCCTACGACTACGATGATGAAATCCAGAAGGTTCCATCCGTTACGCAGATACGCATTCGGGTGGAAGAGCAGCCCGTAGGCTATGACCTTCAGAAACGCTTCCACGGTGAAGATGATGAGGAAGAGATACTCAACCCGTTCCTGCAGTGGGTGGACAGAGAGAAAGAGCAATCAGCGTTATTCAGGTGAGGCACCGCCACTAAAGGCCACATACCGACAGAGGCAAACATCAGACACAGCACTGAGCTGCAAGATAAAACAGGAGAACGCAGACATTCCTCGGCACATAGCCCCCAGACCTGCATCAGGGTGCTGAGCTCAACATACTCCAGTGCACATTATATTATATGCACATTAAATTATAACAGGAAAGGAAAACAAACTGTGGTATCTTTTACTGCCTTACTGAACTGCGAGTGGCAGCTGAGGTCACTGGGGGAGAAAACTTAGCCCTGGTTCTTTCTTCCACCAGCTCGTCACCGCCCCCTAGAGCTCAGTGCGTGTCAAGGCAGCAGCAAAAAAACAAAAAAAAACAGCCCAGTTCCCCACAATTAAACCCTATTATGGAGGCTAAGAGGCTTCAAGTGACCGGCTGAATCCTCTCCTCTCTCAGCTCTGGCTCTCACTCTCCCCTTCCACGCCTGCGGGCAGAGAGTCTGACCCTCGTTGGCACCTTCCCTCTTCCCTCTTTTGGACACACAGAGCTGAATTCAGAAAACACAAGAGTCTGAGGCAGGACCCTCGTGTAGGCCGTTACTCATGCCCCCATGCAGATGTCGAGAAGTCGGATCAATGGCGCCATGTGGGATTAAGGCGCCAAGGCTCTGTAACCGTAAAGGAAAGTCAGCCGAGCGGAAGAACAGTCCGGAAAAGAGGACGCACCTGCAGGGTCACGACCGGCCTTGAATACATTCACTCCTCTGGCATCGCTCACGCGACGATGCGGAAACATCCATTCAGACGGTGTACTCCCAACTACTGGAGCAAAACCTCTGAGTCATCACCAAAAATGCCAGGGGGGGGGCGGCTGACAAGGCCATCGTGCCACCCCGCCCCGTTCGGACAGCCCGGTATTGGCTGCGGCCCCCTCATCGGATTTACAGTAGGCGGGCTGTCAAGCCGGCAGAGCAGGTCCAGCACCCAGACATCACACCGTTAGCCTTCCAGGGGAAATGGCTGCCAGCCAAACCAGGCAGCATGGAGCCGCCTCCCTCCGTAAACGGCCACTGCTCTTAGGCCAGGCCTGTTGGCAACACCTTGGCACTCTATGACTGCCTGCTCCTCATTACCGTCCAATCAGGGGAGCCGATCCTCCAACCTCATTACCGTCCAATCAAGGCAGCCGATCCTCCAACCAAAAAGCACAGGAAGGGGAACACCCCAAACAGGCACACACATCGAGAAAGGGGGTAGACGGGGGGAAACTGCCCCCAGGAATCCTACAGAGAGCACATTTCCAAGAACTCTACTCACTACTTAGGGTAGGCGTTCTGCCTCATGACAGAGACGTGGAGGAACTTTCTAGAAAGCTTTGTCTGTATTATGAGGTTCTATAGAACTGGTAATTGGTTTCTTTATTACTGGAAATCAAAGATCATGCTTTGTCTTTTTTTAAAACTGAAGATAAGCTTGTGGGTACAGCTTATAGAATAATTATTTAACAGCCTTCTTGGGTGTAATGGGGGGGTAAAGTGGGGGCGTGATGGGAACAGAGCATCTCAGGAAATATTTGGTTATAGGACAAGCGATGTGTAGTTTAGCCACGGAGGAAGACTCGGCAAGCGCTTTTCGGGAATCACTAGTGTCTGTGAGGCTTGCATCCAACCAGCTCGGAAGAGATCCTCAGGACCAGCCCCTCGCGCTAATTACCGCCTCGACCAGCAGCTGCAAATCTTGCCGAATTCATGTTGATCGCCGTGACAATGCACATTTTTACACTACCCCCCATCGGTCTCGCTGGGTGACTCTGTTATTCCCCCGTGCTCTGTGCAGCTCCTCTGTGTAGGCCGCTGGACCAGAAGTATGCTCACAGTGACAATATCTCCGATGGCTCTGTTGAGCCTCTGCCGTCCTCCATTTTGAGGGACTGAGGATTGCATCCCTGGGGGAGGTGGCAGGGAGCATGTGACAGCAGACCTCTACTGGGATATCCCCGTCAGATCCCGGCCCCTTCCTCCCAGAATCCCCTGCCCGCCCAAGCACTCGACAGCAGCCTTCCGATGTGACTCCCGTCCCGAGGCCATGGGAACTTGTCACAAACTGGCAGAGGCCTCACTTACGGGGGCTCTGGGGGCCTGGGTGGGTGCCCCTGCCCTCACAGCCCAGGGGAGGCAGGGCCCAGCTGCACCGCCCCCCCCATCCCCCCCACCCCCACCCGCCCGTCCTCCAACCATCCTCCTGAGAACCTCATTCCCAGGGCTGACGCCTTAGTGGGGACAGGGAGTGCTGCCAGATCAGAGCGGCACTCTGGGAAAGTGCGCGGAGCGGACCCCGCGACTTGCTCTGTGTATCTAGGTGTGTGGCTGTAAACACCACCCCAGACCCTGCCACAGCTACACGTCTTCATGAATATCCACGGCTTTTTACGTCTTCCTCGGCTTTTTACGTCTTCCTCAGAAGCCTGTTTATTTTACTATTTAAATAAATAAAAACTACAAATACTGCATGGTCTTCTATCCATGGGAATTCAGTCGTCTATTAAGGGGTACAGACAGGCCTGCGGGCCGAGCTCTGACCCCGTTTCCCCTGTGGCTCCGTCTGACGGCCGATGTGGCCATCGACCAGAATCCTGCTGTACTGGGTGGGCCTCCGGGGTTAGAGGTCTGCGCAGAGCCTGGGGAAGGGGGGGGGGGGGGGGGGACATCGCTCCCACAGGGCATTCAAAACGGGTTCTCAATAGCAGCCTGCAGGTGGCGCAGCGATTTACCAACAGACCTGCCGACCCGAAAATTAGGTAATGGTAAGGTAATGGTAAACCTCCAGCGCATTAACAGCATAGAAGTATGAGACAGTCAGGCAGCGTGTGCCTGGTGGGCTCTGCTTTCACCCAGACTGTTACAGAGCGGCTCATGCAAATAAGGTACATCTGTATCATAAAAAGAGCCAATCAGAACAAACAAAATTGCAGACAGGACTCAGCTGATCTTCGCTTCCAAATAAGGCTACTTAGAGTAGCATGTTTAGGGGATATATGAACAGTCTACAAAGTCGTGTATAAAACATGACCACCAGAGCTTGGGAAAGGGCCCAATGAACAGCAGCCCAAGGGTTGAGCCAATCAGCACTCAGGAGTTCATCCTTAGTGTTCTCCGTGCCAGACCAGATACCAGATACAGCACAAGGCTTACGGGAAGAGGACAGCACGCCCCCCAGCCTGCTACACGCATCAACCGGCCAAATACTTGTAAATCTCCTTTTTTTCCCATTCCTGAAATTCCGTCAATCCACAGGCCGTAGGAGCCAAACCCCAAAGCCTTTCATTCAGTGCATCTGGACCTCTTCACCTCCACCTCCACTCACAGAAACTTGACACCGAATAGAACCCGCAGATAGCATCGCCGGCATAAGACAGCACTGCCAGCGGCCCCCGGATAGGGGCCACACATGATCTCCAGACCATCATAGATGGGGGTGGGGGGGGAAATCAACCAACCCAGCCTCCTACACAAGAAATCCCCAAGAGAAAAGCAAGCTTTATAAAACTAGGGCATGAAACAAGACAGCTGCTATGCAATACAGAGACACAGACGTCCGGCCAAGTCGAGATCAAAGTTTGACGTCAGTCAGCCGACAGCATCAAGCATTGACCGCTCACCCCCCCCCCAAAACCATCCCCAACCCCCGGCTCTGTACCTGTTGAAGGCTCAATTAGCTCTAATGACCAAATTTCATGAAGTTTAAATATTTGCCCTATGTTGTCATCAGCAGTTAAAAATCTAGCACTGGTGAGCAGGCGATTTTGGGCAGTGAGCCATCACAAACATGAACAGAGATGTGTGTGTTAATCCTCTACCAAAATCCTGGGCAACCTGCTGACTAAGAAAGTCCTTGGACAAGTCCTGACCTGAAGTAACCCTGTGATGTTGACCTGGAGTAACCCCCACAAAGGAAGCCTCAGGTGTTTGCCTTCATTCCCATTTACATTAAATGTCAGCTGACACTCTATTCAAAGTGACTTACACTTTTAGCCGTTTATATACTGGAGCGATTCAGCTGAAATGCTTTGCTTAAGGGTACGACAGCAAAAAGCCATCTGGGATCCATGTCCTTTACCACTATGCTAATCCAACTGACCTCAAGCAACCCAGCTAAAAACCCCATTAGCTGGTGTTAACTTGGAGTAAACTGACCAAAAAGGTCTCTGCTCCTATTTTCGACATGGAGTAAACCCAGTGAGCGATCTCTGCTGCTGAGTAAGACTACGGCCAGTCCTGTGTAGTTTTCCAGCATGCTCCTGTGGGACACCCCTCTATGTGTGCGGCGTCTGGGACCAAGACTGCTCCATTTCCTCTGCCGCAAACTCCAGATTCATACCTTTACAAAACCACAAATGACGCAGCTTGTCAGCTGTGAAAAAAAAGACCTTATTAGGAATTCTTCCCCCCCCCCCAAAAAAAAAGGTCCTATCAACCACCAACTTCCTGAAAAATGGCCACATTTGGTGAAACTCCCCTACTTGTTGGCCACTACTTAAAATCCAGCAAATTATTATATTGGTGTCCCACTTGCTTCATGCTTATGGAGTTAATCCATTTATCGAACTTGGTTTAATCCCAAAAGTGTTTCCTAGAAAACGTGCTACTTACTAGAAACACACTTTTGTACTATCAAAGGTTGCAGTACCTCTGTTTGCAAGTGCCTGAAGGAAATGAGATGCTGGAGATACGATTGGAGTCGTGTTGACACATAATACAAAAGATTAAACACTTGAAACAGCAGCTAGGTTAGTACAGCATAGTTACCCATAGTTAAACTCACACTCTGTCCATCCACCTTCTAGCATATGCTCAACATGAGCCTGGAAGCTAGTCCAGGTAGTACAGGCACTCTGGACAGGATACTAGCCAATCACAGGGCACTCTGGACAGGATACTAGCCAATCACAGGGCACTCTGGACAGGATACTAGCCAATCACAGGGCA